TTTTATTCTACTCAACATCGATGTACTTTTCAACCCTCTTCGAGGCTTGTATGCGAAAATGGGGCACCTAAATCGGTCACTATCTGACGGTCTTTAAGAAATGACCATAATATTCTTATTACTAATAGTTTGGCACACTACACATTTCCTTAACATCCTAAATGTCCTTATTAAACAGTTCAATGTTCAAATTAGTCTCGAAAATTTTAAATAACTATAAAAAATTAAGCTGTCACTTGACTTCATCACCAAAAGGTTGCCAAACTTAAAGGTTATGAACCAGAACGTTTAATATCCACGTACGATACAAGTGTAAAAGTTTTTTAATAAAAATTTAATGCAAGATATTTGATGGAAGTGATCTGACAACATAGGAAGAGCGTGCTGTCAGAAAGATGTTGCGGACAAATGCAATGTATACCAGGCGTATCTATTCTATCCGATATATTTGGTCAAAGCGTTCGTATACAGGGTGATCTATAGACTTTTTTAAGATTTATGATGAAATATAACAGTTTAGAAATTGAGTTGTGTTTATGTTTTGAGATTTTTATTTAGATATTTATAATTATTTAAAGGCTTACAAAGATGAATGAAATTCAAAATTTTCCATTTATAATTTCAACATAGTTTATAGTTTACTAAAAAATAAAATAAATGAGACATCAAACTCATCAAAGCAGGTAGAGAGCTTGGAAATTTTGCAATATCATTTTGTTTTCTACTAATATATTGTTTATATTATTCTTACTTTCCTAATAGCCAGGACTATTTCTATTGGTAAAGGCGACGCTGCTCTACCTATATTTCTGGAGGGCCCCTAGTCCCTGTTGAACTAGTTAAGAGCTATCTTAATCAAGAAAGAAACTTTAAAACTTTGAAGAGGCGATATTTTCTAATAAGTAGGATATTTAAGCATCAAAGACTATGCATATGTCCTCACTGTAATTGAGTAAATGGAATAAAAAGTGGCCCAGATAAATATCGCATTCAATTTAACAAGTACTTTTAATAGTCCGAGTTTGAATCTGCGGAAACCAAAGCTATATTTTTCAAAATCAAAATTTTCTTTAAGAAGTAGATATTTCTCAAGATTACGTTATTCCTTTTAAAAATCTTCTCCAAAACCCCTTCGTACACATTTGTCTCATTAAATTTTCAAAGGGAAACCTTACTTTTTAGACACACTTCATATCCGACATTCTTTTGGCGAAAACTTGGAAGTTGGAAGTTCCGAAGCCAGCTATTTGTGGAACTCCGGAGTTTATTTATTTCCGAAATTTTGCTCTTGCGAATCGTGTGACCTATTTGCAAAGCATTCCTTGGGAGATATTTATCGATTTTGTCTGTTCTATTTTGCTATCCATAGATACTTAGTTATTTAATAATAAACCGGAAATTATGTCGTTACGATGGATGTCAGAGGGAATAATGGTATTTTATAGGCATTTTATAGTCTGTAATGTTTTAAAGTCGTTTAAAAAATGTGTCCTTAGAAAATAAATGTAGTGTAAGAGCCAATGAACATTTTATCGCGTCGTTTATTATTTATTATATGTTGAGTTTATTTTTATTTATTCTTTATACCAAAAGACAATTATTTTCTAGAGATGATCGTTACATACGAGATGGTATTGATTTATATTTAGCCTACCATACAAACCGCCACAATATTTCAAAAAAAAAATTTTACTTAATTACCATATTTTAAGATTTACTTACTTTTAAGACAACATTTATAAAGTATAATTATTTAAAATCAAAACTGTAGCACAATTGTATGCTACATACCGTTCCGTGTTCTTTGTCTTACTTGGATACCTTTGAAATTTAAAAATTACAAATAATAACTAAAAACAAGTAAAAAATTCTTAAAATTATCCTATTCTGCCATTTAAAGTGACATAATATTTAAGTCACCTGTAAATAAATAGTGTTTAATTTTATTATTGTAACGTTTATGTATTGGAATTTCTTGAGCAGACGTGAACAACCCCTTTCCGATCAGAATTCCTCGACCAACCTCTTTATCGTTGTTACAAGGTTCCATCATGACAGGTGTTCTTTCTTCCATAGTTTCCGTGCTACTATAATGGTTTCACTTATACCAAGTACCACTGTATTTTCCTGTATAGCTACTAGCACGGTACTGTCCCCATGAAGGAATACCTCTTCGGCACCAATTTTGATTATTCTTAAAATCCAACTGAGAGCCATGTATGTTCATTACATCCATTCCTAGTATAACACCTTCTTCAATATCAGCGAAAATAACAGTATGAGTGAACTTTTCCTAACCGTGTATACTTTCTACCATTTACTTCGCCGTCTACGTATACACTATCATCGCGACATTTCAAAGAAGAGAGAGTCTTTGAAACGGTTGCGGATCGAAGCTGTCCTCCCTAGGTCTACCCGCTCTAGTTTTCCTGCTGATTATTTTCTTAATTTCTTGTGACCCTAGTTCACCGCAATACCATCACCTGATGGTCTTAGTCTTCATCTTCTCATCAGTAAATCTCTTCAGTATGTGTAGCAATTGGTCGAGTTTATCTTTCACGTCTTCTTCTTTTACAGTCCTCACTTTACTGTATCCTCCAGAAGCCTGCGTAGCTGCCTCATACTTTAGAGCAGCCGACAAATGTTTTGTGACGGGCTAAGCGGAGTGTTTTCTGGGTTTCGTGGTCACGGACTGCCAAACATTCCATCATCGCACCAACCTGGCAATATCTACTTCATATTCTTGAAGGGTCTCGTCACGTTTATGTTAGCGATTGTTTAGCTACGATTGATACAAATGCTCCAATTGTTCGTGGCCATATCGCATATTCAGTTCTTTTTAAGTTGTTCAAAAATCATTCCACAGGTACAGTCGGAAGGACATCTAAAGCGTTTCTTTGAAGAGCGATGGTCAAATTTACTGCCTTTTCTCTTTCAGATCATTCGTTTGCTCTCGCAGCTGTTTCGAACTGTTTAAGGTAATTGGTCCAATACATCTTCCAGTCGAAAGTTAGGGCTTTAACCGGGCAGAATTTACAATTCCTTTAAATTTCAACCTTGACTCCATCTCATGGCATTTTATTTCATATTCCAATGGCCTGTTCTGTATGTTCCAGTTCTTCTATCTTCTTCTCTATCTCTTTTATTTTCTCCTCAATGGAAGATATATTATTTTCCACATCAGCAGAAATGTCATTTTTTAGATAGAAGACATTTCGATTTTCACGGAAGACATTTCAGAAGACCTTTACTTCTAAGGAAGACATGTCAGACAAAACTATACTTTCTAAGGAAGTAATATATTATAAGGAGTTATCAGAAGAAACTTTAGTTTCTAATGAAGATGTATTAGAATCGGTTTTTAAAGAAGACATATCAGATGAATCTTTGGTTTCCATCGAAGACATTTCCAAAAAAGAAATTATAGAAGACGCATCATCAAAAAACAGATACCTTTCCGAATCCAAATCTTCACTTTCTGGTACTTTTAAGACGCTCTGCCAGCGCTGCTTTCTTCCATGTCGTCTCCAGATCACGATCCTCTAGTTCTCGACGCAACTCCATTTTTGTTCACTATTTATTTACAATTCCACTTCTAACACCAATGTAACGATTGTTTAATTTAAAATGGTTTATTTATTTAAAACAGTTTATTTATAATTTATTTACACTACGTACCAATTTTTTTAGTTATATTTCAGCTCTATTTATATGTCACACTTCTAATTTATTTTACAATTTACATTTATATTCAAACTTAAACTTCTATCGACAAAGTCGCACTATTTATACAAAAATGTAACGTCTTAGAAAAATCTAGTCCTAACTAGAATGCTCGATGCTAGTCTGGTAGTTCGCGGAATCCTTCCTCTACGCATCGGACTGCATTCAGAGAAAATTCCTATCGAATCTCGATCACGAGTAGGAGGGAATAGCGTTGCGTCGAGCCAGTGTTAGCAACTGGAGGAAAATTTCCCGTTTTGCGGGAATTTTTAACAAAAAGGGAAACGTTAACTCAAAACGGGAATTTTTTACTTCAGTCCAAATTGTAAAAAATGTATGATTTTAAAAATAAATAAAATTAAAATTGTTATTTCTTTAATATATTTTTAAAGTTTTGTAAAAATATTTATGTTTTTCAGATTATAATTTTTATACTTTGTTATGTACGTTCATTTCCTTTTAATAAATATTTTTTGGAAAATATTTACATGCTCGTATTTCTGTATAAAACCGATTTTGTTAACGGGACGGAATTTTTTCATAAAAGTAGGAATTTTTAAGGCAAGAAGAGGGAAAAAGCTTAATTCAAGGTTGGCAACACTGCGTCGAGCAAGGAGATTGATATTTTTTAGAGCATCGCATCGCTGGTCGCTCTCACTCTGAACGTTTGATATCACTAGGTTGTTTTATCGACGACGCGTCGCTCGATGTAACGCTTTCGCATCGCCACGCTCGCCGCTCCTACTCTGAACAAGGCTAAAGTGCGAACACAGACGTGAAGGTTAAAGAACAGGGAAGGTTAAAGAACAGGGTCGTTCTCAGGCGATCGCACGACAATAAATACCAAAAGTATCTAAAAATGTTTATATCTCTTAATCCTTTCAAAAATTAAAATACTAATTGACCGACACTCAAATTTTTTAAATACTAGTTTTTCCTAAAAAAATGCATCTCAAAATCTAACAACTTATTTATAAAACATCATAGTTGTAACCATAGTAACCATATTTAATTTTGTTCACCAGAATTTCCAAGCTTACTAGATACCAATATCCCCTCGTATCTAGCGTTCCTATAAAAAAATGTTAAAAACACAAATTAGATAAATGTCGGTTTAATTTTACAGCTGTCAATCTCAATAAATTGAGCAAAAAAGGAATCCATTGGAAGTCTAGTTTGTATGGTTGTATAATTTCGCCACTTAAATTTCGCACTTAAAAAATATATATACATGTACATCTTTCAAATGTTCCATTAATTTTCGTTTTCCATTTCAGACCCAACTAATCCTCTACCTGGAACGCTTTAGCAAAATCGCCGATAATTCAGTAAACTGCGGGCCGGTGCTAAATTGGCTACAAATGGATAACAAAGGCCACCGATTGCTTGTGCCTAGCGAAGAAAGTCGATCGATCAATACTCCAGCAGTTGCAGCTGCTTACAGCGTCCGCAGATACGTTTCGCAGGTAAGTGATCAGTATCGGCCCCGAAAATGAGCTTTGTTAAACTGGTCAAATAGAAATCAAAAAAGAGTACAATATGATTTTGAGTACTGTGTTAACGGGTTTTTGGATAGTTACAAACTTCATAATTTAAATCAGTTTTTAGTTTTAAATATTTGGACATCTTGGGTCTTCTTACTTTGTATGCATTAGTAATAACGCAAGAGCCAGTAAACATTTTGGGTACCTATTTTCGTAGTGAATCTAATAATATTTAGATTAGACCTATTGGATTTCTTCATTCTGAGAAAAAATTCACCTAACTACACTCAAGTAGAAGACAATTTGCATATGAATTCAGACCATTCTGGAGCATTCCTTACTCTAAGTGATGTTATTAAAAAAAGTAAATCCTACTCAAACAAATCGGAAAACAACTTGGGAAGATTTTCAAAACACTATTCAACTGACCATAACACTAAGAATGAAAAATAAGCTAGATTAAGAACTGAAAAAGTTTACAGTGTTAATCCAGTTAGCTGTAGGTGGATCAACAACTGAAAAAAAAATACCATGTGGAGATAAGAAAAGTGGTAGCAGAAAAGAAAAAAACTAAGAAAGAACTGGCAGATGACAAGATCACGAAAAGGTAAAATATTAAATAGGGCTACCCGAAGACTGAGAAGAGAATCGTAAACCGCAAAGACGAATTCTTCAACACATACCTAGTAAGGCTAACAGATGACAAAGAAACTAATTACTCGCTTTGGACACAATCATCAGAATGCTGATATGCTGACCACCTACAAAAGACGTTCCAAATAGAAGAAAACCAAGAAACTCCTAACGAGACGATTTATAATATGAAACAACTTGAAATTAGGCTAATTACTCCAAATGAAGTTGCGATAGAAATTAGCCCACAGAAGGCCCCAGGAAAAATGATAGTGTACTAGGTCCGAATCTTTACTTATACACTAGCGTTATCTCTCAATAACAATGTGTTAAAATACCAACATTTTCGGATGACACTGTAATATTGGCAGATGGTCGAACTAATACAGAGACCTCAAAAAAACCTGCAACAAAATCAAACGATGGACAAAAAGTGAAAAATAAAAATAACTAATAGTAAATCAAACTAAATCAGTGCATGTTGATTTTACCTTTCGGCAAAATTTACAAAAAGAAATTAGAAATCATCACAATTATGCCAAATACCTAGGGATGAACCTAGATGTACGACTTAAATAAAAAGCGTTTAGTAAGAGATCTTAAATTAAAAAAAATTATTGGCTCCTAGAAAGAAAATCCAAGTTGTCAGTGTACAATAAACTGTTGATTTATAAACAAATCCTAAAACTAATCTGGATACAAGTTTTCCAAAACAAACACCTAAAATGCTTCGTTTTATTACTCCCAAAATAAGTGCAAATGTTTGAATTTTTGTCTTTTTTGTATCATCGATTCCATCAAATAGCAATGAACAGACTGTGATGGATCGAAAAAAATCCTTAAATTAGTCGAAATATCACTGCGAAAATAAGTTCCCGAATATGTTCACTGGCTCCCGGGCTATAATATGAAAGCTGCTAAATATAGGTAATAAAAGTATTACAAAGTTTTTTTTCCTCTGTTTGTTACTTTGTATAGAAATACTCCCTTCTAAACGAAACGTTTTTGCTTTATATAATTCATTAATTTTCAGTGCCGAAACAATTTGCTATTTTTTAAAACATTGTTATTAAAACTTTTGTGCGATCAATTTTTAGTTTAATTACTTTACTTCTTCCTTTCTCTTTTTTCTTGCTTTTCCCTTAGTTCTTTATTTTTAAAGAGAGAAAAATATTTCAAAGTCACAGAATACGTCTAGCGACTGCTTCCCCCAACAAACAACTAGGTACTACTCTGCCTAAATTCTTCGACATTATATCTAGAGGGAAACAGCAGATATATAAAATTATTTCGACACTCTAATTTTGATTTTGCTTATGTTTACCGCTTTTGTCCAATAATAGGACTCTTCAGCAAGAAATAGACATCCTTACTTCCAATTTCTAATGGAAGGTGTAGAAGAGTGAAATTCACTCGTATTGCGTGATGGTAGGGATGGTCAAGGATGATAAAGCTACTGTTGATGTAAATCATTTATACAAGGTGATTTAGAAGTACCTCAGCTTAAATTCATAATTTTTTATAATTTGCTTTATTGTACAAATAATAACGTGTGTTTCCCCCACGAGCATCAATTTTTGGCATGCTAAGTATTAAATTCCGTAATCCGTATAAACATTGGGTCAATATTATTCTATCGCTGTACTTGTTCCAATGTTTCTGGCGGATTAGGTGCCTCACGAAGCTCAACATTCATTTTATCCCACAAGTGCTCAGTGGGGTTAATAATCTGGACTTCGGGCTAGTCAACCCATTACGGCAATCTCAGTTACGTCTAAATATTCCCATACAATTCTTGCCGTATGCGGTCGTGCATAAACAGGACATCTTCCCCTTTAAATGGAGCAAATGCCACGACATGATCTTGCAGAATTTCCGCAATTTATCGGTCAGCCGTTAAACGTTCTACAAAAGCTAAGTCCGCATCATCTTCTGTCTTAAAAAATATGACATCTGTCATTAAATCCAATAAAATTCTTAGACATTTAAACACACTTTTTCATTAATTACTGACATTTCAGTATGGTATCTTCGCTTATTTAGTTGCTTATATTGTATCTTTCATTATCCTAAAAATATGACATCAGTTTGTTTATTCAGCCTAAAAATATAATAGCTATCATTAAAGACATCTCTAATAAAAACCTTTGTACTCACTTTTTCACTAATTACTGACATTTCAGTATGGTATCCTGGATTATTTAGTTATTTATATTGTACCTTTCATTATCCTAAAAATATGACATCTGTCATGCCAGTTCCTAGTTTGTTTATTCAGCGTATAAAAAATATAACAGCTATCTTTAACGACATCTCTAATAAAAAACCTTTGTACTCACTTTTCCCCTAATTATTAACATTCATTTGATACGATATTCGTACTTATTTAGTTGCTGTATATCATCGTCCTAAAAATATGATATCTGTCGGTAAATTCGGTTAGTATCAGCACCACTACATTATTAATCACAAAATTATTTATACTATCTTCTATCTATGCTATCTTCATAGTATTCTCATTTTTGTTTTTTAATTACATCTTCTATTTCAAACTAAAAATATGACATCTGTCATTAAATCCATCAGTATTAAAACTTTTGTACTCACACACATTTTCGTTTTGTTTTTCAAAGATTTCTATACATTTTTTCTTTTGTCCTAAAAATATGACATCTGTAGCTAAATCCGCTTAATATCATCAACAATATGCTAATTTCTACAGAATTATCTTATTACTTCCATTTATTTCTGGTTTGTTTTCCATTACAACCTATTTTCAACCTAAAACAATATATCTGTTATTAAATCCAGCAATATTAAAACTTTTGTACTCACACACATCATTGTACTAGGATTCCTATACTTTTTTCAGTTGTAAAAATATGACCACTCTCGTTAAAATCATTATTATCACTGAACAGTAAAATATTTTACTCACTAGAAATCAATAACATCGGTATTTTCTTACTTATTCCTTTACATAATCATAAAAATATGCCATCTGTCAATAGGTCTATCTAAGTATGACTCCCTTTAATCTTCATAATTTACTTGCATATTAAAAATATACCATCAATAATCGTATGCGTAAATATGGTTGCAATTGGTATTTTTTGTAATCAGTTACAAAACAATACATTTTCTCATTAATCCTAAAAATAGGATAGGATCTTGGACACCAATGCTTTTTAAATGGAAAACGTGTAGTTTACTCTGGACAGTAGAGTGCAGGTGTGGACATTTAAGTAAAGATTGGACAAATATTGCTAATAATTTAAATGGGGGAAAGTTATTTGTAATAGGGTAAAGTCAACACTGAACAATGAAAATAAAATATATTTTGTTTTAAAATTATATTTTTAAAGTAACAGTATTAAGTATTTACAGTAACTCAATGAGTTTCAAAATTGTCTCTCTGAAGCTCGGCTTTTTTATTTAGGCTCGTCAAACGAAAACGTCAAATGAAAACGTTAAAAGAAAGCGAAAACGTCAAACGAAACGTCGATTTTTCTCTTTAACGTTAATCGTTCTCTACATAATGACGTTTTTCACGTTTGAATCGGACCACGTGATACACGCTAAGGCCATTCTGGCTTTTCGTTCTGCGCATGTTTTTTCTGTTCGACGTTAATCTATACCACGTTCTCTACATAATGCCGTTTTTCCCGTATGAATCGGACCAATAGCAGTGAAGATACATGCTAAGGCCATTCTGGCTTTTCGTTCTGCACATGTTTTTTCTGTTCGACGTTAATCTATACCACGTTCTCTGCATAATGCCGTTTTTCCCGTTTGAATCGGACCAATAGCAGTAAAGATACATGCTAAGGCCATTCTGGCTTTTCGTTCTGCGCATGTTTTTTCTCTTCTACGTTAATCTATACCACGTTCTCTACATAATACCGTTTTTCTTGTTTGAATCGGACCAATAGCAGTGAAGATACATGCTAAGGCCATTCGGGCTTTTCGTTCTGCGCATGTTTTTTCTGTTCGACGTTAATCTATACTACGTTCTCTATATAATGCCGTTTTTCCCGTATGAATCGGACCAATAGCAGTGAAAATACATGCTAAGGACATTCTGGCTTTTCTTTCTGCGCATGTTTTTTCTGTTCGACGTTAAAAGAAATTTAATTCCCCACTGCCCCGTTTTCCCCTCAGACCGTCTGTCTCACTCTTATCCATTGAATATGTACCTCTCACTCTTACACATTGAATTCCCTATGTGAGTCCATATGAACTTAATCTATCTACTAAGTTCATTTTTAATTATTCAATAAATAATGGAAGGAGTGTATTTACGCTCGTAAGAAAAGTACACGTCACCCAAATATAACTTCTTTTGCACTTTGTGTCCATAATATATTTGTTAATAACATTGTAACCATTGTTGTGTGCGCAAATGATTTAAAAATAAGTTTGTAACTAAAAATTTCTGGTTTTAAATTTTTAATTTTTATTACATTTCTTACGATTGATATTGTGTACCTTGCTTTATGACCAAAGAAGGGTGCATTATTTTTAATCCAATGCTAGATAATTATATTATTTTAAAACTGTTTCTTATTTTAGGCTCGAGACGAACTGAACTTAGAAGTAGGAGACATGATCTCAGTAATAGACATGGCTAGTCCAGGGGAGTCGATGTGGTGGCGGGGCAAAAGGGGTTTTCAAGTGGGGTTTTTTCCACAACACTGTGTTCATATTATAGGTGATAAGGTGCCAAGAAATATGCCTCTCCCACCGCCTGTTGTTGGGTAAGTTTTATGTTATGTGTTTAAGAATTATAAGAACATGAATGTCATCTAGACACTGTGCTCAGTTAATTATTAAATTTTATCAATTAATTAATTAATAGCAGTTCCTCTATAAATTAAGTTATTGTAATTAATTTTATATGAAACATGTAAAGATGACATTTAGGGAGTTATAATTCGTTATTTTCTTCTTTCTAATCTTTTCAAGCTTGTATAATTTCTTCCACTACTTTATCTTCTTCCTAGTTCTTCTATTTTATTAATCTAACTTCCTTGGCATTCCTCTTCTTTTTCTTACTTATTTTTATTTTATTTAATATTGTATTCTAATCTACAATCTTATTCTTTTTCTACATTTTTGTTACTAACTTAAGTACTTAATACTAGGGATGGCTGGGACTGCAAACAATCCCTTGAGTATCTGGCTAAAAACAACAAAGTTACTTTGATTTGGCTACCAGGGCATGAGGGCTTACGCGGGAATAAAAAGACCGATCATCTCGCCAAAGATAGTGCTTATGTACCATTTATAGGACCAGAGTCCTTTGGCGATGTTGCTAAAAGCCACATAATGAGCGATGTCCGTAAATTAGAGAAGGTCCAAAAATATACCTTCTGGAGAACAACTCCGGTACAAAGGTAAGGCTAAATAATTCTCCATAGAGTACCAAATAACTTTTCTAACTCAGCAAAATCGTGCTCAAACAAATCATTGAACTCTACCGAATATTATCCTCTAAGATATAATCCTAAAAAGAGACTGTGATACGTCGCTCCTGATAATAATATAATAATAATAATAATAATACTCTCTCTATAATTCACCCCCTTACGAGAGAATTTTAACCACTGAAACCGATTGAGCTTGTGTGGGGGAAGGGACGGTTAATATTATTATTTGCCGTGGCGCTTCGGGTGACTTACAATAAGGAAACCTCCACCCACCATCATAGAATTTGTAATCTGGATGCGATATCAGCAGAAATGAAATGACTGCTAATACGGCACCCTTCAGGAAACCATGAAAATTAATTAAACATTCACATGGTTTGGTCTGGGATCTGAAGCCGTGTGTCGCTAAACCAGTAAACGGCCCGTAAATGAATACTGGCCGCTTGATACATTGCGCTACCGACTTGGTGCAGAACCAACCAGCCGAATTTGTCTTGCGTTACTGTAGAATGCTGCCATTAAATCTGGTAGATACAATAGCTCCTTAGATTTTTGTAAATTATTGGAGATTTGATATCTCAATTGATTCAGAAGATGTGCAATAATAGTGTTAATACACAAATACTGTTGCTCACTTCTGAAGCTTTTACATTGTTTGACCAGAAGACGTATCGCATGGCTTAAATCGCCAATACCAATCTTTGTAGAATTTATTTTTTCATATTTTGAAAAAACTGCAACGATGTTCACTGAATTAACATCAATTCACAAATTGTGTACTGTATGACGTAATATTAAAATGTATAACGTCAAGCATTAAATTTTTTTTAATTTAATATAAATTAGTAATGGCTGGTATATCCGAAATTTCAATAACTTTTGTCTTCACATTCAGTTTAAAAAAAAACTATTGCATTTATGCAACTTGTAATGCAGATACGTCACTTGTTTGCTAAAATCGATGACGAACAACTATAGAAAAATATTCATAAATAACCCATTTGTTTGCTTGCAAGTATTTAATTCGTGTTTTATGAGTGGGGATAGTGTGCTAGCACGCGTTTTATTAATGAATCAGCACTTGATTAGTCGCTTGCTATTTATTGCCTCTGCTATCCTGAGGAGTTCCAGCAGACTCTCCTGAATCAGGCTCGCATGGTGGCACTGCAGCTAAAACGGCTTAGTATACATTATACTACTATTTAGATGGCCTATTACTTTCCATTCTCTTGCTTTACTACTGTTGTCACACTGCAAAATAAATTGCTTACTTTTCCGGAAATCATTTTCAACTATAGTAGTTATAATCAGAAAAAATATTGTACTGATGTAATATTAAAAGCGTTTTAGAGCATTTCGTTGATTAAATTCCAAATTATATCCACAAACAATCCTTGTAATAGACTATCCCATAATAATTTGGCAACTATGTTAGGCAACAATGTTGTTCGTCGTTGGATAAAATCCAAATTCTGTTAACAAGTGTATTCTGTGCAATAAGTGTCATGTCGTTTGTGAACCGTCACTGTCGTATTTGTTGTGTTATGGTCAAAGTTGTGTATTGTGTATGAAGTGTAGAGGTAAGGAGAATTATCTCTGTTTACAAAAAGTTTACCTCAAAATGTATGGCATACGACGGCGTTACTGTACCAGAATGACGCCGAAATTTGTGACAGTCGATTATTCAGATTACATAATCACACCAATGATGTCTATAGTTATATAGATAGCGCACCCATATGTAAATAATAGGGTATATTATTAGTACAGAATCCGAAGTAAGGTCGACCTTCACCCATTTGTTTAACGGATGAAAGTTTTTTTTAAGAAAATACTTTTTACTTCCCTTTTTGTATACAGATAAAGAAAGTATGGTAATTATAAAAGTTGCTTGTGATGTCATTCTCTATAATTTTGGTCCAATGCCTACATGATTTCCCTAAAATGGACCGTATTCGAAATATTTGAGAAAAAGTGCAAATTTCGAATTTTGAAGATAACTCAAAGACATAAAGAGAAAAACACCAAATTTTAAACTTGAGCTTTATTTCATCCTGCGGTGAGCTGATTACATTTTCGGCATAGTCGAAGCATCTAGGGAATACTTTAAAGGGGGTCGTTTTTATTTTATTCTAAGAAAATAAAGTCTTGGTAGTATTTTCTTAGGAAACCCATTTGTGGTATATTTATAAACATTTTATTTCATAAAAAAAAGTTTTAATCCGTTAAACAGATGGGCGAAGGTCGACTTTACTTCGGATCTTAGACTAATATGCTCGAAGGGTTTAGCTTAAAAACTAAAAACTACATCGTGAAATAATGATAATGACAAGTCGGAAACTAACAGTTTAGATATGGCAACCCTGTGGGCCTGTTGTCATTGACAGGGTCAGTGATACATATAGTTGTATAGATTGCTCAAAGCGAGTCGTTTTCCTCGCAAGTGCTCATTAATCAGAATCGGTTTAGCAAAAATGTGTTTTAGAACCAATTTTCAGTCTTTGAATATTGTAAAAAAAAATAATTACCTACATTTTTACTTTATAAGGTATAAGCATATGTTTATTTTGATAAACATGGATGATCAATCTTTATAAATATCTATATCATTGACCCAGGTCCACAATGTTGCCATATCATATAACCTGTCAAAACTCATAGCCATTTTTTTTTTGGAATGCCTAATAGTACTTTTCGTCGTCTGATCTACATATGGATGAGCAATCTATATATCATTGGATCTTTCTTTTCTAGTACACGAGCGCCATTCTGGTGGTCATTTTCTGAAACCATATTTACTGCTTTTGGGTGGATACTTTTTGTTATAAACAACCATATGCGATTGTCCTCCTTTTCTTTACACTTCATAGTTTTGTGTTTCAACTTTGAGGCGTTGAGTTATTTGAGTAAGAAATGCATGTTCCATGTATTTAAACCAGTGACGTCACAAGGAAAAATAGCTGAATTTTGAAATTGTGGAAATTTGAATAATTTGTATTCTTTGTAACTTTAGAGCACTGATCTGTATTATTTTACTGGATAGGATATAGGCTATATTTAACATACTAAAAATCCGTTCCACCAAGGAGACCGGAAGTGCAACACTGCTGGCCGATTTTCTTAAAACTACACTAAGGATTTTTTATAACTTATAAGGACTATAACTAAAAGGAGATATTGGTAATAGAAATAACAGCCTCGAGCTAGAACTACATAGAAGGTTTCGAATCACTTTAGGGATCAAGTATGAAACGAGAATCGGTGTTTGCCATTGTTACAATAGAACCAGGAAGAACAGGGATATAAATATGGTTAAAAGATGTAAAAGATCTAAACAATACCTGTGAAAATGTTTAACTGATAGAACAATATGGATACATGCAACTAAAGCGATTAGAATTGGAACTGATCTAGTGGTGTTTTCAGGAACATGATTTATATTAAGAATTTTGAAGAATAATGTAGGTAGGTAGTTTATAATTACAAAGTTAATGTTAGAAGTTGAAATTTATTTTAAATTACCTACACCAGTCTAGGAAAGTTCTTTAAATTTACCGATTATTACCACTGTCCTTTTGTTGTCTCTCTAACTATTTTTTTTACACTATACAAACCACATTGAAATTATATATATATATATATGTATTCAAAAATTGTTCTAGGAAAATACTGTTATGACTTCAATTTTGTGTAGACTATTCTAATTTACAATTAAATAAAGAACAAATTTAAAGGCTTTACATAATTTTTACAATTATGCAAATATTGATTTATATATATTTTAAATGAAATAGAAGAAATCATGGGAAAAGGTGAAAAAATAAACATTTATATTTCTTGTAATATTTTTATTAATGTAAAAAGACATAAAGTACCTAATATTTTTAAATGCATTACCAACAGAGTCTTCGTTTGTGTTTTATCAATGAAGGATAGCTCAAGCCATTTCTCCAAAAGCTCCAATTCTGTAGAAACCTTAAATAACAAGAAGATTATTTAATTTAGTAATAATCGTTAAAATTCACTTCAGTTTTTATCAGTTAATCGAAAAATGTTATTTGTATTCTTGTATGCTTGTGTAAATTAGTAATTGTTTCAGTTTGTTTCGACAAAATAGATCTATTAACAAATTATTATAAACATAATAGTTTTATTTACCTATGAAGAGTACGGATACTCTTTTCACTTTGTTTTCCACAATAAAAACACAGCTAATCGTAACTTGTTGACACAATTATATGACAAATGTTATGACAAATAGAAGTAAAGGTTATGTTAAATAACATCCGGTCCGCCATATTATTTCCCCAAATCGGCCAATTTTTCTG